AGCACGTGAGGCACGAGCTGGGGCCTGCAATGCATCCTCCGTAGAAGCCAAGAATTGTTCCTGGAGGGCCACCAGTTGAGCGCAAGTCCTGTGCATCCAACATGTCTCCGAAGATTCGCATCCCGAGAAGTTGCTGGTTTCGATTGACAGGGGGGCCAAACCGGTGCGGGCGGCGGCGGCGGAGGCGACGAAGGGCTGTGCGCACAGAGGGCCCCGAGGCCCAGGAAGCGAAACAACCAGCGACACTCAAGCAGAAAGAAGTTTAGAGGAGCAGATGCATCGAGGGGGGCAGCTGGGGCCGCGATGTCTGACTCTCCTCTGGTAAGGCGGCCATCCGACGAGTGAATGACCTTGCTAGCGCGCGCCAACGAAGCCTCCCTCTCGACTGGAGACTTCCCAAGAACATCAAACACAGGCGAATTCGAAAGGAGGGCTGGCGAGTCGGCTGCATCATCGGGAAGTGGGCTGTCCATCCCTACGCGCTTCGCCACCTCGGAACAGATCCCTTCAAACAATTGGTAATCGGAATGCGACCAGTGCAGTGCCGATGGCGCACGCGGACTTACGCCATCTGGCGGGACACCCGCCTCCTGAAAGTTCTTGACAAGATCCTCCCACGCGGAGAGGGGGGCAAAGCTCCGACTGAACTCCAGGCAGCTTGTTGCCGTGAGGCTTCGCGCTCCCGAGGATGCGAGCGGCTTTCCGGCGAGCCGCCCCCCGTGGCGAAGATGCCCCCCGCTCCTCCCGCCTCGCCCGGGCCCAATCCCCCTCCCGCCGACGACGAGCCAGCAGCCTGTCCGGGCTCAGCGGCAGGTCCAGCAGCTTCTACCAGCGCAGGCGGCGCTGGGAGGACTGCCCCATCGGGTCCCCCATGACGCTCAGTGGCCAGCCGATCCACCGGAGCTTTCGGCTCCGCTTTGAGATTTCCCATCGTGGAAGCTGCGTCCGAGAACAACTTCGACACGGCATCCTTGAGGCTGTCGTTGAGCTGCGAGACCAGCGCTAGAACCGTCTCCTCGTGGCCTGGCAACTTCGAGCTCTGCTCTGTCGGGCGCAAACGTATCGCCAGCGACGATGGAGGAGTCCGACGACTCGTTGAGACTGTCTTCGATGCGGATACGTGGTGGTTTCTTGTCTTCATCTGTTGGCTGCGCGGCTTCGGGTGCCACTTGGTGTGCAAGTGCGTTCAGTGTAGGCCAATCTTAAGTTTCGCGGTCTTTGAGCAAATTGCTGAAAGTTGTTGGGGCCGTCATACCTCCACGGAGGACCAGTAGGAAGAGCAGGGCGAGGGCCAGACAGAGCACCATTATGCAAGCAACCACCCCGGGAAAGATTCCATGGGGGGCTCGACCACGTGCCACCACACCACCTGGCGCATGCGGAACACGTAAGTTTGAAGAAAGGGGGGGGGCGCCCCTCTCCGAAACACTTTGGTCCGCAAATGCGATCGGTTCTGAGGGTACGCACCTGCAACATGGACAAATCGTACGAGCGCAGAAAGGCTGAGGGAGGGCGAGGACGGCGAGGAGGGTGGTGTGGTGGAGGAGGGGAAGGAGAAGGAGGAGAAGGAGGAGACGGAGGAGCAGGAGGAGGAGAAGGATGAGGAGAAGGGGGAGGAGGAGGAGGAGGAGGAGGAGGAGGAGGAGGAGGAAAAGCGGAAGGGGAGCAGGAGGAGGAAGAGGAGGAGGCGGAGGAGGAGGAGGAGGAGAAGGAGCAACAGGAGGAGGAGGAGGATGAGGAGGCGGCGGAAAAGCAGGAGGAGGAGGAGGAGGAGGAGGAGGGAAACGGAGGAAAAAAAGAGGAAAGGGAATGCCAGGAGGAGGAAGACGAGGAGGAGGAGGATGAGGAGGAGGAGGAGGATGAGGAGGGGTAGGAGGAGAGAGAAGATGATGATGATGCTGATGATGATGCTGATGATGCTGCTGATGATGATGATGATGATGATGGTGATGGTGATTGTGATGATGATCATGATGATGAGGATGAGCACGAGGATGATGATGATGATGCTGATGATGAAGATGATGATGGTGATGATGATGGTGATGATGCTGATGCTGATGTCGACGAGGATTACGATGATGCTGCTGATGCTGATGATGATGAGGATGAGCACGAGGATGATGATGATGCTGATGATGAAAATGATGTTGATGATGATGATGCTGATGATGATGATGCTGATGCTGCTGCTGCTGATGATGCTGATGACGATGACGATGACGATGACGATGCCGATGATGATGATGATGATGATGATGCTGATGATGATGCTGATGAGGCTAATGATGCTGATGATGCTGATGATGCTGATGCTGATGATGATGTTGATGCTGATGATGCTGATGATGCTGATGTTGATGCTGATGATGATGATGATTTGATGATGATGATTATGATGATGATGATGATGATTATGATGATGAGGATGATGCTGATGATGATGATGCTGATGCTGCTGATGATGATGCTGATGATGATGATGATGATGATGCTGATGATGATGATGATGATGATGATGATGATGATGATGATGCTGATGATGATGATGATGATGATATGATGATGATGATGATGATGATGATGATGATGATGATGATGATGATGCTGCTGCTGCTGCTACTGCTGCTGATGATGATGATGATGATGATGATGATGATGATGTGATGATGATGATGATGATGCTGATGATGATGATGATGATGCTGATGCTGATGCTGCTGATGATGATGATGATGCTGATGATGATGATGATGATGCTGATGCTGATGATGATGATGATGATGATGATGATGATGATGATGATGATGATGCTGCTGATGATGATGATGATGATGATGATGATGATGATGATGATGATGATGATGATGATGATGATGATGATGATGATGATGATGATGATGGAGGATGGAGGAGGATGAGGAGGTGGAGGAGGGGAAGGAGGATGAGGATGAGAAGAGGAGGAGGAGTGGAAGACGGATGAAGTGGGAGGCATGAGAGGAGAAGGGGGGGGGGGGGAATAGGACGAGTAGGAGGAGTAGGAGGAATTCGATGAGGAGTATGATTAGGGACAGGAGAAGGCGGAGGTGGAGGAGGAGGAAGAGCAAGAGGAGGAAGAGGAGAAAGGGGAGGAGGCGGAGGAGGAGAAATATGAGGAGGAGGAGGAGGAGGAGGAGGAGGAGGAGGAGGAGAGGGACGATGGAGGAGAGGGAAGATGATGACGATGACGGCGATGATGATGACGATGACGATGACGATGACGATGATGATGATGATGATGATGATGATGATGATGATGATGATGATGATGCTGATGATGATGATGCTGATGAAGCTAATGATGCTGATGATGCTGATGATGCTGATGCTGATGATGATGTTGATGCTGATGATGCTGATGATGCTGATGTTGATGCTGATGATGATGATGCTGATAATGATGATGATGCTGATGATGATGATGCTGCTGATGATGGTGACGCTGTTGATGATGATGATGCTGATGATGCTGATGCTGATGCTGATGATGATGATGATGTTGATGATGATGATGAGGATGATGATGTTGATGTTGCTGATGATGACGATGCTGACGATGCGGGTGATGATGATGTGGTTGATGCTGATGCTGATGCTGATGATGCTGATGATGTTGATGGTGATGATGTTGATGATGCTGATGATGATGTTGATGATGCTGAGGATGCTGCTGGTGAGGATGACGATGATGCTGCTGATGCTGATGATGATGAGGATGAGCACGAGGATGATGATGATGCTGCTGATGATGATGCTGATGCTGATGCTGATGGTGATGATGATGATGCTGATGATGATGATGATGCTGATGATGATGATGATGATGATGATGATGGTGATGATGATGATGATGATGATGCTGATGATGATGATGCTGATGCTGATGCTGATGCTGATGATGATGCTGTTGCGGTTGCTGCTGCTGATGATGATGATGATGCTGATGATGCTGATGATGTTAATTAGGATGGGGATGATGATGAGGATGAGGATGAGGATGAGGATGAGGATGAGGAGAAGGAGAAGGAGGAGGAGGAAGGAGACGGAGCAGGAGCAGAAGAAGGATGAAGTGGAGGCAGGAGAGGAGAAGGGGGGGTGGCGGAGTAGGAAGAATAGGAGGAGTAGGAGGAATACCATGAGGAGGATGAGTAGGGGCAGGAGAAGGCGGAGGTGGAGGAGGAGGAAGAGGAGGAGGAGGAGGAGGAGCAAGAGGAGGAAAGGAGGAAGGGGAGGAGGAGGAGGAGGAGGAGGAGGAGGAGGAGAGGAGGAGGAGGAGTAGGAGGGGAGGAGGAATAGGAGGAGGAGGATGAGGAGGAAGAGAAGGAGGAGGAGGAGAGGAGGAGACTAAGGAGGAGGAGGAGACTGAGGAGGAGGAGGAGGCGGAGGAGGAAGAGGAGGAGGAGGACAGTAGGAGGAGGGTGGGAGGAGGAGGCGGAGGAAGGGAGGAGGAGGCGGAGAAGAGGAGGAGGTGGAGGAAGAGGAGGAGGAGGAGGAGGAGGAGGAGGAAAAGGAGAAGGAGGAGGGGAGGAGGAGGAGGAGGAGGAGGAGGAGGAGGAGGAGGGGAGGAGGAGGAAGGAGGAAGGATGAGGAGGAGGAGGAGGAGGAGGAGGAGGAGGAGGAGGAGGAGCAGCAGCAGCAGCAGCAGCAGAAGAAGCAGCAGCAGCAGCAGCAGCAGCAGCAGCAGCAGCAGCAGCAGCAGCAGGGGTAGGAGGAGGGGGCAGGAGGAACGCGCGGAGTCGAGGCGAACTGCCAGCTCCCAGGGCCCCCCTCGTCGCTTCCGCCCATCGTTCCCCACCTCCCTCCCTCGCTCCTTCCTTTTCAGCGCCCCGCTTCCCTCCCTCCCCTCCGACCGCCCCCCTCATCGTTCCCCGTCGTCGCTGTTTTGTTCTCGCGGCGCAGAGAGGGCGCGCGCCGCCGCCGCCGCCTCGGCCCCCTCCTGGCGTTTTTTTCGCGGCTGGCAGGCGCGGCGGGCCAGCGCGCGTGCGGAACCTCAGGCGGGCGGTGGTCGCACGGGCTGTCGCCGTCGTCACTGGTCGTCTTGGTGGCGCCGCCGGCGCTGGGCTGGAGCCTTTTGTCCTTCAGTAGGGAGGAGGGGGGAGTCACAACCAGAACACGAGACGATCAAGAACGATCATGCTGGCCAGCGTGGGCCCCTGACAGCAAGCTGTTTCTCTCTGGATGTGCTAGCTGTGTGGTGCAAGCCATGTGGTGTAAGATGTGGGGCGCGATTTACATGGTGTGAGCTATGTGACGTCAGCTATGTGGTGAAAACTTGCGGTGTGGATTGCATTGTGCAATATGGGTGGTGCAAGCTAGTTGTGTAATCTATGTGGTGCCAGCCCCTTGATGAGCCACCGATGCGGTGTACGCTAGGTCGTGTAAACAAGACTGTGCACGATATGTTGTGGATGTTAGGTGGGCCAGCATCTGCTGTGCAACTTATGTGGTGCAAGCTATTTGGTGCAAGCTAACCTTGGGAAGCAGCTATCGCCCCCCCCCCCGATGTTATCCGAAACACATCCGAAGTTGATGAATTCCCGGTGGGGGCAGCGAATTCTCACGAAGATCCAGGGATCTTTCAGGGATCCCGCAGGAACCCCCATGCATCCTTCAGCCTCCAACAAGTTCGGATAATCTTCAGGTATCTGAAAGGACCCACAGGAATCCTAGATGGAACAGGGAATTTTGATAACCCCCGAGGCATTCGTACGAATCCTCCGGGGGTCAGCAGCAAACCTCCAGGAACCCTCAATCAGGATTTCGTTGGGAACCGTCGAGCAAATCTCCGGAATCTCCAGGGAAGACATTCTGAATTCCTGAGGAACCCGACGGATCGGGACCCTTCAGCATCCGCCAGCAACCCGCTTGAGTCTTCAGGAACTCTCCAACAATCCGTCGGGCACCCATCGTTCGCACCATAAATGATGAAGGACATTTTCAGAGAGAGCAGCGAAATTTCAAACACCGTCTGGAATCTTCATAGACACTTCAGGAGTCGGCAGGTGTACTCATGAACCCTTCATGAATCATTCTGCGTCCCGAAAGGATCTTCAGGAGCCCGTAGCCAGAACCCTCAGCAAGTCTCAGGAATCCTCACGGATCCTTCAGAACTCGCCAGATATCCTTGACTAATCTTCAAACGTCCGCCAGGACTCTTCAGGAATCCTTACGGCATTCCGCAGGAATCTTAAGGACTTTCGTAGGTTTCGGCAAGAGTCTACAGGAACCCTGCAGGTGTCATGCTGCACTCCGCAAGAATCAAGAATATTTTGCAAGCCCGTGCTAGGAATCCTCAAGAACCTTCAGGGGTCCTCACGGATCCTCCATGGAGTGCCTGGCATTCAATAAAAACATGTTCAACGTTCCACCAGGAAAGCTGAATTATCTTTCTGGGCATCCTGCAGGGATCTGCAGGCATCTTTCAGGATTCGGCAGGAGTCCTCAGGAAACCTGCAGGGATCACTCTGGACTCTACACGAAACTTTAGGAATCCGCAGCAGGAATCCTCAGGAATCCTCGGGGACACCAGCAAATTTTCAAGGAACCGCTTGCAGTTGTTCAAGAATCGAGAGTCAGCAGACACCCCTGGGAATCCAGGAACCCACAGGAACCCGAAGTATCTCTCAGGACTCCTTTAGGAATCCTGCGAGGACCTCTAGGGGGTGATTCCAGGAGTCCGGGAGGACCCCCGTGTGACCAGTCTGGAATCTCCAGCGCAGCATGGCCGCGCAGGCCGCGTTTCCTTTTCCTTCCCTCCCTGGGCTGACAGAAAATATGCCCCTTCGCTGGACGGTATAGCTCCGTAGTTCAGTGTGGAGGGAGGGAGAAGGGGGAGGAGGAGGAAAAGGAGGAGGAGGAGGAACATTATAATATTACGGATCGTATGAAACGACATAAGAGTAATACTACAGGGAGGAGAAGCCAGAGGAGGAGGACGAGGAGGAGGAGGCGGAGGAGGACGAGGAGGAGGAGGAAGAGAAAGAGGAGGAGGAGGAGGAGGAGGAGGAGGAGGAGGAGGAGGAGGAGGATGTAGTAAAATGCGCTTTTGCATTGCCGGCGTGGGCGTCCCAGTGTCAACATCATCTTCCAGTGTTGTGTTCGATATATGCAACCAGGTGCGTTTTTTCAGCTGGGTCTTGTCTGAACACGGCGCTGAGAACAACGCGCACGGAATTGAGAACACGATGGGTTGTTTTGTTTCGTTTGCGGCCCCGAGAGTTCCTGAGGATTCCTGCGGAAACCTGGAGGACCTGGCAGGGTGTCTGGTGTAGTTAACGTACTGTTCCTGGGGTTCTTGAGGTGTCATTTGGAGTCCTCAAGGTTCGTGAGGCAGTCTGGCAGGATCCCGGGAAATTGCCTGAATGCGTCTTGAAGGATTCTTGACGACATCGTGATCAATATTTAGAGATTCTGCGGGTTTCGGCTGAGTCCCGATGGTTTTTGAAAGATGCATTCTCCAACGCTCCCCTCGTCCCTTTTCGCTGCCGCCGCCGCCCCTGCCAAACGCATGGTTGGCGTTGCCGATAGCGACAGACTGTTGATACATACTATAGCCGCGTTTGCGGCACAAGGTAAACAACGCGCGCGACCGGTTTTTGTTGGTTGGCACAACATCCTTTAGTGCGACCGCGCATCTGCTCACCGGATTGGACCGTGGGTAGCCATGGCCTCAGGTACATCGCTCCCGAGGCTCACCTGGGGACCGTTGCTAAGACAACCACATTACTATTCAGAACATTTGCCCATCAACCAGAAGATCCCCACCAAACCACGAAAGCACGCGACTGCGTCACATGTGTCGGGGGTGGTTGCGCCAAGCGAACAATTTCAATAATTAGGCCTTTCTGAAGACAGCGTCATGATAATCGAGGAAGGAGGGCCTATTACTCATATTGTTCGTTATGACTCAATGGCAATCGAAAAGATAGTGCTCGAGACGGACCCTCTGACTGTTTCAGCGGTTTTGGTTCGGGTCTTCCGTAAAATTTCAAGCAAGACCTGGCGCAACCAGGCGCATCGCCATCCGATGGAAGCGGCGGCCACAGGGGCACCCCGCGCACGACCGCGACCGACGCGCGGGCAGACCAGGAATGGCGCGGCAGTTGTTCCCCGCCGAGAGCCCCCGCTACCATCATCCGCCCACCTGCGCGATAAATTCCGACTGATCGGATGGCGCTGTCGCCGTCTCTTCAGACGGAGTTCTGTCAGTTAAGTCAACACTTCGACCGGTTAAAGACGCCGCGACCGAGCGTCGCCCGTACAACGGCTCCGAGGCTTTCGATCCTGGGCCGCCGCCAAGCATTGTTATCCGCGTGAAGAGAAAATCCAATGCTGGCGGCTTTCGCTGACTGTATCACCGAAGCCTCTCGGCACGAGCGGCGCAAGCAGATGGCCGCCGCGGCGGCCGCAAGGTCGAATGCTGGGTGACGGGCTCATTCGGGGCCGTGGGCTTATTCCATCGGGGGCGAGGTAGATTTGGTCGAGGCGCCCCAGGGCGCGCTGCCCGCGCTTGCCGCTCGACCCGCCCGACCCCCTCTCCACGCGGGGCGAGCGCGTGCGTGGCCGCCCCATGCAAAAGAGCACGCGGCCATACATGCGCGATCTGCGCTGCCCTCATCTCCGCCATCCCCCCCGGGGACCCGCGAAAGTGGCGACGGTGGCGCGCTTCGTGGCCTCCCAGGGGGACGCCCGTTTCCGTCTTGATGCGCGTGGCCCCCGACGCCGCCGGATTTCCCGGGAGCCCGCGAAAGTGGCGACGATGGCGCAGTTTGCAGCGTGCCAGGGAGCAGCGAGGCCCCGCCTGGATGCGCCTGGCCCCCGACTCCTCTGGGCCACCCAGAATGCCGAGACAGCGGCGGCAGTTGCGCAGTTCGCCGCCGCCCAGCGAGCAGCATGGCATTGTCCATGCGCGCGTGGAGCCCGGCTCCGCTGGACCCCCGCGGGCCCGCGGAAGCGGCGACAGGTGCCATTTTGCAGCCGCTTGGGGAGCAGCGAGGTCTCGTCTGGACGCGCGAGGCCCCCGACTCCGCTGGGCCCCCCAGGGCCCCGCGACAGCGGCGACAGTTGCGCGTTTCGCAGCCTTCCAGGGGGCAACGGCGTCTCGTCTGCGCTGGCGCGGTGGCCCCCAACTCTGCCGGGCCTCCCAGGGGCCCGCGGAAGCGGCGACAGCTGCGCGGTTCGCAGCCGCCCACGGAGGGGCGCAGGAGGGCGCGGGAGGAGGGGGGGGCGGAGCCGCGACCGCAGGGTTCTATTCAAAATGGGAGCCCAAGCGTTAATCATCCCTCGCTGAATGAGCGCTCGCCGAAGATCCCCGCAAGTTTCGCAGGGGGGGGGTCCGCCGCGGCGCGGCAGCGGGCGCGACCGGGTGCGTTTCTGGCGAAACAAACGTCGTCAGTCGGCGGCGTCTCGGCTCCGAGTGGCGGCTGGGCTGCGCTGGGCTGAGCCGCGCGCGAGGCGAACTGCGGCGCCGGCGGGGGGCGGGGAGGGGGGGGGCGAACAGGGGCAGACGACCGCGCGCGAGACGCAGCGCGGCACGGGCAGGGGAAGGGGGCGCGGGGGGAGCAGGAGGGGCCGGCCGAACGCGGTTCTCGAGCTCGCAGGGCACTGCGACCTTCGGAAGGCAGGTCGGCGCAGGTCCAGGCGGGGAAAAACCGCGACGGAGGTTCGTGCTAGTTCTCGGCATCGAGACGCTCCGGGCCCTTCTGGCGGGGCCCGAGCGGCAGCCCGACTCTCTCCGCGCCAGCGGCGCCGATGCGTCGCCGACGTTGCCTGTTGCGTCGGGGTCCTTCGAGATCTTCGCTTTGCGCGCCGCGCCAGTCGCACCTCGCGCGCAGTTTTCAGGGTTGGGCTCCTTGCGCAGGGGATTTTGCGGATGCGTCTGAGGCGAGCAACGGGCGCGGGTCTGGCGGAGACATTGGTAGGGCCCCCCAAGCTATGGCATCGGCCCAGGTGACAGCAGCCGCGACGCTAGACGCGACGAATGAGAGGGCGCCCG